CCCTAGTAAGCTCAGAAGACACAGTATCCATCCAAAGAGAACTCCTTTCAGGCCTTAACATAAATTGTTGCTGGCTACTGGATATATCCAGATAGAGAGATCTCAGGAAACTGAGATCTGAGGATCATGGTTCAAAGCCAGTCCAGGCAGAAAAGTCCGTGAGACCCTATCTCCAATTATATAGCAAAACACTGGAAGTGAAGCTGTGGGTCAAGTAGACCAGCCTTCAACAAAAAAGCTAAGTAGAGTGTACTGGCCCTGAGTTCAACCCCAGTATTGGCACAAAAAAACATTAAATGGTGTTAGCCTGTTTATTTTGGATTTAACTTGGGACCTGTGATCCCCTTTCTTTCCAATTTCTCCACTTTGGGATGGGACTATCTATCTTTTTTTGGGGGGGGGCTATCTATTTTACATCTGTCTATCACTACTGCATTTTGTAAGCAGAAAAGTGATATGGTTTTGCAGGTTCCCAGCTAAAGAGCAATTTGACTCAGAATGAAGATGTGTCATATTCCAAGTTTCCTAATTTTATTTACATATTTAGGTGAGAGTTGAATATGAAGTTTATGTGGAGGTTGGGAGAGGTGGTTTAGTAATAAGTGCTTGTACAATGCCCTGGGTTTAATCCCCTAGGCACTGAAAAAATATCTGTACCTGTATGTATCAATAGCCTACACCTGTAATTCTAGCTACTTGAGAGGCTAAGATCAGGAGGGTCATACGTTCAAGGTCAGCCCAGATATACACACTTGAAACTCCCTCTGAACCAATAGCTGGGTGGGCTGGAAAATGGCTCTCATCACAACTGTGTGGGAAACAGACACTGGTTTCAGACCAGTCCAGGTAGAAAAGTCTGATTCTATTTCAAGAGAAAGTAGTTGGGATGACACATACCTGGCATGTCAGCTATAAGGGGAAGCTCAGAATAGGCAAACTGCAGTTTAGGTCCATGTCTGAGCCAGAAGCAAAACCCCATCTTACATATTAATGCTCAGCAACAGTAACCAGGATACAAGGACACATGCACCTCCATGTTCACAATAGCCAAGTTATGAAACAACCTGTTGCCCCACTACAGATGAATGGATCCAAAAATTGTGGCAACTTATTCAATGGAATATCTTTTTTTTTTTTTTTTTGGTTGACAGTGGGGCTTGAACTCTGGGCCTGGGCGCTGTCCCTCAGCTCTTCAGCTCAAGGCGAGCGCTCTA